CCCCTCCTGGGGCGAACATCGTCAGTGGCATGTGGATCTTCAGGGTGAAGCGGCCGCCGGGTTCTCCGCCTGTCTTCAAGGCGCGTTACGTGGCTCGTGGCTTCAGTCAGCGGCAGGGAGTTGACTACTTTCAGACCTTCTCCCCCACCCCGAAGATGACCACTCTTCGGGTACTGCTGCACGTTGCTGCTCACCGTGACTACGAGCTGCACTCTCTCGACTTCAGCACTGCTTTCTTGCAGGGCAGCCTGCACGAGGAGATCTGGCTGCGTCGCCCACCTGGCTTCACTGGGTCTTTTCCTCCTGGTACCCAGTGGAGTCTCCGGCGTCCAGTCTACGGTCTCCGCCAGGCGCCACGTGAGTGGCATGACACACTGAGGACTACGCTTGCGGCACTTGGGTTTGCTCCTTCTACTGCCGACCCGTCGCTGTTTCTGCGCACCGACACCTCTCTGCCGCCGTTCTACATCCTCGTGTACGTCGACGACTTGGTCTTTGCCACAGCTGACACTGCTGGACTCGCCTACGTGAAGTCCGAGCTGCAGAAGAGACACACGTGCACTGACCTGGGTGAACTGCGCAGCTACCTTGGCTTGCAGATCACCCGGGACAGAGCACGCCGCACCATTACCCCGACTCAGTCACACATGGTGCAGCAGGTACTTCAGCGCTTCGGCTTCACGTACTCCTCGCCTCAGGCCACTCCTCTGCCTACTCGCCACTCACTCTCAGCTCTGCCTTCGGATGAGTCCGTAGAGTCGAGTGGCCCGTATGCAGAGCTTGTTGGCTGCCTCATGTACCTGATGACCTGCACTCGACCTGACCTTGCATACCCTCTTAGCATTCTCGCACGCTATGTTGCTCCTGGGAGACACCGACCAGAGCACATGGCTGCAGCGAAGAGGGTGTTGCGCTACTTGTGAAGTACGTCGGGCATGGGGCTAGTGCTTGGAGGGCGCAGTCCAGTGGTCCTCACTGGGCACGCGGACGCTTCTTGGGCTGACGACCAGGCTACGCAGTGGTCGTCACAGGGTTACACCTTCGGCCTTGGTTCCGGCTCTGTTTCGTGGCGGGCTACTCGCTCGTCTTCTGTTCTCGGCTCCAGTTGTGAGGCTGAGATCTACGCCGGGGCTATGGCTGCTCAGGAGCTTCGCTGGCTCACCTACCTGCTGACCGACCTTGGAGAGCCGCCTCGTTCTCCTCCAGTCCTGTACGTAGACAACAAGGCCATGCTGGCCTTGTGTCGAGAGCAGCGACTGGAGCACAGGACAAAGCACATTGCTCTCCGCTACTTTCTTGCTCGTGAGCTACAGCAGCGTGGACAGTTGCGACTTGTGTACGTGGCCTTTGAGGCCAACACTGCTGATGTCTTCACCAAGGCACTTGCGCCTTGTGATCATCAGCGTTGTTGCACGCAGCTGGGTCTTGTGCCTGTCTTGCCTCACTTACTCACTTCTTGACCTTGCTTGTACCTTCACCTACATATACTCTTGCTCTTGCTTACTTGACTCTTGTATATCTCTATATATGATCTTGCATGTGAACTGGCCTTGTGGCCTTTGAACTTGTGCTCGGAATATGTGGTGACTTTGTGATCCACTCTGAGCTTTGCTTTGCTTTGCTTGACTGGTCTTGTGACCCCTTGTTCTCCCCCACTTTGCCTATGGGGGTGTGTCAAATCATATAGCTTACTTATTTGTGTAGGCTATAGTGGGGTATCCCATAGGGGGTACAACCCAATTAGGGTTTCCTATTTGTACTCACTTCGTTCATAGTCATCTCATTCTCGTTCACTTCTTCTCAGCTTGTACTATCATTCTGTAATGTCAACTTTGCTAGTGAAAATTGTAAGTGCTATGGAACGCTGTCAAAGCTACGATCACTCATAGAACTCGTGCCAACCCCCGTAGTCTAGCTCCCCACCTTTGTAGAGTGAATCTCCACATTGCGGCGGTACTGAGCGAGTTGACTTGCGATGTAGGAGAGGTCGGGCCTGCATGCGACAGAGCCAAATATCAGACAACCCAGTGTAAGAATCCCAATCACTAGACCACTGGGATAAAAGGGCTTGTTTCAGTAGCGGGTCAGTGCGCCCATAACCCCCTAGGCGAACGCGCCTGTAACCCTCTCTAGGATCAATCGGGCATCTACAGTGCAGATCTACTGACACCCCCCCACACTGGGAGGCCCAGGACTAAGCACAGCGGCAACGGCCTACATGTGCATACACCGGGAATCGAACCCGAGACTGCTCTGATACCATGTCAAAATCCCAGTCACTAGACCACTGGGATAAAAGGGCTTGTTTCAGTAGCGGGTCAGTGCGCCCATAACCCCCCAGGCGAACGCGCCTGTAACCCTCTCCAGGATCAATCGGGCATCCAGTGTGCAGATCTACTGACACCCAGTTGTTACTAGAAGGTGTATAGACCTACGGGGGAGAAAGGTTTATTTTTCGGTTTGTGGTTGGGTCTAGTCATGCAGTAGGGAGTTGAGAGTGGTGCAGGTGCAATGTTGAAACACTCCCCAAGTGCCACAGCCGTGATGCCTACTCGATCCTGTACAGCGACTTATTCAGCTGACAAACCGTGGGGTTCTTTTCGTCGTAGGTGTTTGGCTGCTCTACGTAGATTACTGACTCAACTAATGCGTACAGGATTGCACTTTTCATGTCGATCTGTCGGGGTGGGAGATGTTTGGCAGCGACGATGGCAAGTAAAATGCCCGTACATGTATGGCGGCTCACTGCATGACATGTTTGGTCGAACGGCGATCGCGAGTTAAATCCCACGGGAACATGGGCAAGGATCTTGCTCAGGCTTGATCGCATTGTGATTTGCAACATAAGTGTTTAATGACACTTGTTAGAGTGAATGTAAAGTACAAAGGTTTAGATAAGATTACAATATAATACGAGGAGTCTTTACTATCCATGTACTCCAAGGGATAGGGAAACTCAGCAATGCAGCGTGGGAACCCGCGTTCACGCCTTTTCCTTTTGAATGCCTTTCCCTGCATCGGTCTCCACCTGACAACCGTCTTTGTCGCTTTAGTGCATCTCGACATTTGATCTTCGTCCGCAGTAGTGCTTTTCTTATGTTACGACAGGAATGTACATGATAATTCCTTATTAAAGCACCCTGTCCTATTAGAGTGATCTGAAAATGTATTTTAAAAGTTTGAGAATCAAGGACTTCTGATATATGGGGCCTTCATTATGTACAGATTATTCATTATTCAATATATAATTGCTTACTGTCTATAAGCCCCGCTTCTTAAACTGTAATAGTCTGGATGGATGACGGTGCCCGTTACCGACGTTATTTGTTGTGACATGCATTGGGCGGCCTTGTTACGAAGACTGTTACGCACTGATCTAGCGATGAAACGGCCGTCTTGTCCTCTATGTCGATCGTGCTTCCCCTTTTGCCAGACCTTCGATGATGTGTTCGTTCTCGGCTCGCCCTGGCTTCACGGCAACCTGCCCAACAGAATCGGTATTATTCTGTTAAGTAAGCGAGGGGATGGAAAAGCAGGTACAAAGTTGGGTGACCACTGGGCCTAAACAGAATTATTTTACCATCCGTTGTACCCAGCCTGCCCATCCTCAGCAGACGGAAACGGGACAAGTGGGAAACAAAATTTCTCTCAGGGAGTGTTTTCATCCCGTGTCAGACACGAAGCCAGACACGAAGTTGAGTTTGGAAGACCCAAAGGGACTCGGAATGCTGGCAAATTTAGGTTTGGAAGACACAAACCGAGTCACTTCGTGTCTTCCGAAGCTTCGACCTGAAGTCTGACACGGGATAGAAACACACCCTCACACAGAAAACGGGCTGGTGGCTTTATGCGCCCATCCGTACGTTGTCCGTGATGTCAATTTTGGAAGGGCACGGAGAGTGGCGGTTGGGACGAAGGGAGGGAGTGGTGAGATGACTCACGCTGACGAAGCGCAGAGTTAGCGAAGTGGTTGGGCAGCCAACACGGCTTCCGTCCAATCGGAATTCCGGGAGTCGTACAACACACCTGTCGGTGGTACTGTACTTTTTGTTGATTGCGTCCACTCAAAATTCTGGGGAAATTGAAGCTAGGGTAACCTGGTTAAACGTCCACCCCTTCTCATGCGTCGCATGAGCAGCAGCGAATGGTACGACTGAGGTAGCAGGGTTCGACAAAGGCGGCGAACGATGTTAACGACACTCTCCACACAGATTCGCCCACCCAATCCGACTGCTGCAAAAATACCCCAAATCGACAACTCGTCACTTGCCGTTTGCTGCCCTTGCCCTCACACCCGCCCGGATTCCTCCGTCCGGCTAGCAACAGCATTGTAGTACTGCATTTGCTTGCCACTCCCCTGCCCTGCACTCTCCGCGTTGCTCCCAAGTTTCAACCAACCACCTCTCGCCATTGCCACTCGACTGCTCGCCTCGCTTCCCCTCGCCTCCCCTCGCCTTGCCTCGCTCTCCCTCACTACTCGGTGCTCCCTGCCCGTCCTCTTGCCTACTCCATCGCCTTCCTCACTTTCAAAGAGGTTGAGGCAGGGTTTTCTGTACCACTTTCGTCCAAACAGAAGGAAGGCCAACCACCACCACCACCACCACCAGCATCGCACTGCACAGCATCAATACTGACCCACCGCCACTGCACCAGTACGAACGAAACCCTTGACACTGACACATCACGCATCGACTCGACAAGGCACTACGAAGTCACGCACGGCAGGCGAGCGGCCGCATCGGATCGCATCGCATTCGCGTAACGTCACGCGCGGCTAGCATGTGTTAGGAACACCATCGTGTTCCTTGCACGTCCCAACCGTTCCGCGTGTATTAGGGCAACGAGAACAAGCTTCGTCACACACACGGAGTGACATCCCTGCTTGCTTCCTCCATCGTCTTTTCGTTTTTTCGCCACCTCGCTTCCTCCTCGCACTCCTCTCCTCGGTTTACCGCCTCCTCCTCTGCCTAACACTTTCCTGCTCCGCCCATCGCGCCGCAATGTCCGGCAATGCGATTCTCCAGATGCAGCCCTTCCCGACGAGCAACGTCGACATCGCGATGATGTCTTCTGCCTCGCCGGCCGGTCAATCCGCGATGACCGCGTACGGCGGCGGCGCTGCAGACGCGTTCGATGGAGGCAGCAAGTTCGACACCGCGAGTTGCGGCGGCAGCAGCGTCGCCAGCAGCAACGGCTGCCACAGCACCACCACCTCCGCGACGGCAACCACCGCCGGGAGCAGCAGACGTGCCGCCGCCGCGTTCGTCGCCGCGAGATGGGGCGCGAAAGTCGCCGCGGGATTGCTGCACCCGCCGCGCGCGTGCATCCGCACGCTGCACCGCCACCTCTCCCCCAGCGCACTTTCCCCCACCGCCGCCACCGCGGGGGCGGCGACTGGGAGGGCCGCGGCCGCAGCGGAATCGACGGCGGCGGACGCGTTAGACCCCGTTATGGTCCTTCTAGAAGACGGGTCGCTGCGCATGTATTCCTCGTCTGCTTCGGAACACCACGCGTCGTCGCCGTCCTCGCCCACTGGTAATAACGCGCCACTCACTGTCGCGGACGTGCTATTAGATTTTCCCAACCACGATCTTGTCGCGATCGCCGCCCCTTGCGCGCCGCTCGATCCTGCCACGCGCCTCGACCCCGGAAGCACGTATTGCTTGTCCGCGCTTCCCGCCGCAAAGGCCGGTAAGCGGGGCGCCGCGGGCGGAGGCGGGCAGAATCCGCACGGGGGAGCAGCGGCGGCGGAAGAGGCGGCGTTCGCGGTGCCCGTAAGTTCGAAGGCGCGGTGCCGCTGCCCCATCTGCCGCGTTGAGGCGGAACGAGAGCGGGAGGCGAAGCAGCAGCTGCGCGGACTGTGGCTTGCGGGCGGGGAGATTTCCGCGAGCCTTGCCGGAAATGGCGGCGACCCCATGCAGCTCCCCGGAAGCGCGTCGCCTTCGAGATCGATAGCGAAGCAGCGGCTGCGGCAGAGGGGGAGCGCGGCGGTGCGATCGCCGCGCGGGGGAACGGAGGCGGAGAGGCGAGCAGCGGTAGGTTCTGGTGCCGCGTCAGCAGCTGCAGCAATCGCGCCGTCTAACGGCGGTGCGAGCGCTGCCTCTGGCGCGGGTTTCCAGGGCGCGGGTGCGGCAAACGTAGCGGGTGGCGCAAAGGGCGGAGCGGAGGACCAAACGGTCGGTGGCAGAGGGGGAATGGCCGACCACGGGCAAGGGCACGGACACGGGAAGCGAATAGGCAAAGAGGACGAGGCGGCGCGGCTGTCTGCTGCTGCAGCGATTGCATTGGCTGGGATGCCTTGTCCGTCGCCAGCAGGCGCGCGAACTGAAACGAGCCATGTTGGTCGGGTTACCAATCGCGAGCTTCGACGCCACCGAACCTCCTCGCCGGACCGGCCGTCGAGGTTCCCGTCGAGGTTCGGGCAGGCGGAGATGTTGCGGATGGGAATGGGTGGTGAGTCAGCAGCGAGCCCATTATTGACCAACGCGCTTCCACCACCTGGCAGCGCTCCTGTGACGCCACGTGGAGGGCTGCAGCCTGTGGGAAAGGAGAGGTGGGGAGAGGTGAGAGAGGAGCAAGGTTTGGGTGAGACAGAAGAAGAGGAGTTTATTTCTGATGGAGACCAGGATGAGAATGAGGAAGAAGGGGGGAGGGAGGAAGAGGAGGAAAGGGAGGAAGAAGACGACGCAACGAATATGGATGGAAAATTTGCTCCTGGTGGGGAGAAGCTGAGGCAGGGGGGAGCAATAGAGGAGAGGGAGCAGGAGTTGCATAGGCAGAGGGCATTAGAGGAGCTACAGCAAGCCATGGACAAGGTAAATGCGTGGATGGAGGCATGTCAGGAGCAGCTGAGACAGCTGCAGCAGCAGGGCCAACAGGATTAGGAGACTCAGCAGCAGCAGCAGCAACAGCAGCTAATGCAGTACCATTTGCAGTGACTGCCCAAGGGGCTACGGGTAAGTCAAGTTTCTGGTGTTGTGATTGCAACCAATTGTATTACCAGTATGCTAAATGGCATGCTGGTACTCAGGCAGGATGTGTAGGGAGTTCTCTTACCAGTACGGTAATTCAACCGTATGTTCACTAATGTGCAGCATTTGAGACATTGTACAAAGCGGATAACTGTGTATAGTGGATCCCTTGTGCTTCAGATTGTCAATGAGTCTGACATTACCGCATGAATGAGATACCGAACTTGGATTAAAGCAAAGTAAGGTATATACAATACAGTAGTAGAAGCATAGCACACAGTGCTAAGGGCGTATTCCTACGGCCTCCTATCAAGCTACCTCCTATCAAGATTGTGCCTTTTGCCTTTTTCCGAAAGTGTTGGGCTGAAAAAGGCCTTAGGATCTTTGCAGGGGTGAACTCTGGGTAGAGTTGGTGTAGTAGCGGAAGCGTTAATAAAGAGTTGTGAACCACCTTGCGCTAGTATGTGAGGGCTGTTGGGCTGAAAAAGCCCTTAGGATCTTTGCAGAGGTGAGTTCTGGGTAGAGTTGATGTAGTAGCGGAAGCGTCTTAATAAGGAGTTTGTGAACCACCTTGCGCTAGTATGTGAGGGCAAAGTGAATTGATTAAAGCAAAGAGATACAAGATTATATATGAATACAGAGAATATGAAGAGACACGGTTATACGGTAACTACTTTACTGTCAAATGTTGTAGCCTGTAGCGAGGTTTGTCTTAGGGGGTACAGAAGTTAGGGTTTGTTATATGTACCCCAACCAACATCAATGGCATCATCATTCCTCATTTTGACATGGTATCAGCTAGGTTAGGATCCTGTGGGATCCCGTTCCTCCGTTCTCCGTTCGTCCCTCCCGAGCCTGATCCTACCTCTCGTTCGTACCGGTTCCGTTGTTACCGCGCCTAGTACCGAGCCTAGCGCCCTCTCCCCCGTCGCTTAGCGCCCTTTCTCCCCGTCGCCTAGCGCCCTTTCCCCCCCCCCCCCCGTCGCGTCGCGCCCTTTCCCCCCGTCGCCTAGCGCTCTTTCCCCCCGTCGCGTCGCGCCCGTTCCCCCCGTCACGTCGTGCCCGCCCTTTCCCCCCCGTCCCGTCGCCCTGTCCCGTCGCGTCGCCCTGCCCCGTCCCGTCGCCCTGCCCCGTCGCGTCGCCCTGCCCCGTCCCGTCACCCTGCCCCGTCGCGTCGCCCTGCCCCGTCGCGTCGCCCTGCCCCGTCCCGTCACCCTGCCCCATCGCGCCGCCCTGCCCCGTCGCGTCGCCCTGTCCCGTCCCTACGCCCTGGCCCGTCGCCCTACCCTACGCCCTGGCCCGTCGCCCTACCCTACGCCCTGGCCCGTCGCCCTACCCTACGCCCTGGCCCGTCGCCCTACCCTACGCCCTGGCCCGTCGCCCTACCCTACGCCCTGGCCCGTCGCCCTACCCTACGCCCTGGCCTGTCGCCCTACCCTACGCCCTGGCCCGTCGCCCTACCCTACGCCCTAGCCCGTCGCCCTACCCTACGCCCTGGCCCGTCGCCCTAGCCCGCTCTTCCGCTGCGACTGAGTCCCCTTCCCACCTGAACCCTAATTTGCCTCTTCTCCCCGGTTGTTACTCGCCTGTTCGTTCGCGTTAGTTCTCACTATGGCGACTCCGCGAGCTCTTCGTTTCGACGCTGACGGTAGACCACTTGACTTTTCCGTCTGGCTTCTTCGCGCTCGCCGTCTGTTAGAGAGTCAGGTCCAGGGGGGCGAGACCCTCTGGTCGCACGCTACTGGTGACCTCCCCGAGCCCCCCGAGCCTACAGCTTTAGGCTCTGCCCCTGACGACGCTGCTACGGCTCGCTTTGCCCGTCAGCGCGCTGACCGGACGGCTTGGACGTCGCGTGACGCTGCGGCCTGCATCGCACTCAGCAGCCTCCTCCCTGAGTCAGAGGAGGTCTACTTTACTCAGGTTCGCACCGCTGCTGCGTACCTCACTGCGATTAAGGCCCGCTACTCTACTCCCGCTACTGTCTCTCTTGGCCGTCTTTTCCTCCCGTTCCTGTTTCCTGATCTCGCCTCGTTTGAGCGCTCTGCTGACTTGATCGCTCACCTCCGCTCGCTCGACGCTAGTTACCGCGCTGCTTGCACTAAGGCACAGCTTGCACTGCTTCCTCCCCCCATGGCGATTACTGTCTATTTCATCGCCACTAGCCTCCCTGACCGCCTAGCCTCCGTTCGTGACGCGCTTCTGCTGAAGCACCCTAGTGAGCTGACTATCGAGGTCCTTGAGTCTGCACTCAAGGACGTCGAGAGCAACCTTCGCTCGGTAGCTGCCGCCTCTGGTACTGTGTCCCCCCCACTCTTCCACGGGTGCACAGTCCCGCAGTTACCCACCTTCACTGCCTCTCTCGCCACTGCCGCTACTGACGCGACTGCGGCTGCTGTTACGACTGCGTCGCGGTCCCGCGGCAAGAGGGGCAAGAAAGGTAGTTCTGGTGGAGGTGGAGGTGGAGGTAGCGGAGGTAGTGGGGGTGCTGTTGCGACTGGCGGTGGTGGGAGTGCAGCGTCTGGAGAGACCCCTCGTGCAGCGGCTGGTGACTCCACTGCGCCTGCTGGTGGCGGCGACCCCCGAGCTCGTCAGTCGCCTCCTGTACTGCCGACCCCGCTAGGTGGAGCAGCGGCGTGGTACCAGGCTCAGCGTCAGCAGCACCTTCAGCAGCAGCAGCAGCCCCTTTCCTCCCGCCAGCCTCAGCAGCAGCAGCGTCAGCAGCTGGCTCCGGGGTCGGGGCTGCGTCAGCCCCAGCGCGGTGCTTCTTACCCTCCCTGCACCTATCAGGTTCTGACAGGTCCTCGTCGGGGCCACCCTTGTGGCCGCTTTCACCCCCCTGGTCAATGCTTTGCTCAGCTCACTGACACGGTCCGGTTGGCTTACGGGGTTGGCGGTCCTGCTCTTGACTGGCTTCCTCTGGTTCAGCGCTACGGCTCCGCTCTGTGGGGCATGTCTGCTGAGAAGTTAGTTGATCTGATTGGTGCTCCTCATGCTATGTATGCTGTTGTTGACTCTAGTGTTTCTGACTCTGTTTACTCTGGTGTTGTTAGCTTAGGTGCTAGTCTTGCTCAGTTGCCTGTTGCTAGTGTAGGTTCTTGTGTAGACTCTAGACCAGCGACTACCTCAGAGGACGCTTCGCTGTCGTTCACGCTGGACTCTGGAGCCTCACACTGCTTCTTCCGGGACAGCACGACACTTACACCACTTCCTGCGCCTGTTTCTGTGGCTTTGGCTGATCCCACTACGGGACCAGTCACTGCACGTCACACTACCACTTTACCGTGTCCTGCTGCTCCCTCCGGGTCTCTCACTGGGTTTCACGTCCCCTCGTTCTCCCGGAACTTGGTGGGCGTGCGACCCCTCGTGAGTCAGCACGTGGGTGTGTGGTTTGAGCCTTCTGGAGAGACTGCGGTGTGTGTTGACGGAGACTCTTACCAGCCTCTTGCTACCTTTACTGCTGAGCCGGGCTCAGGTCTCTACACTCTTCACACTGGCCCGCGTGCGCCGCAGCAGCAGCCGCAGCAGCAGCAGCAGCAGCCGCAGCCGCAGCAGCAGCAGCAGCTGCACCAGCGGTCGCACCAGCAGCCGCCCCTACTGCCACTGCCCCCGGTTCCCCCCCCCGTTCGGGTCCCCGCGTCTCACCAGGTTGCTTCGTCCCCCCAGGTGTCTGTGTCGTGTCAGGTTCCTACGTCTGCTCCAGTCGCTGCGTCGTGCTCCTGCCGGTCGCTTGCCCACCCCACCGTTCTGTGGCACCACCGGATGGGGCACCCGTCCCTTCCTCGTCTGCGCACTATGTCTAGTCAGCGTCTTGTCCTAGGCCTCCCACGTGTCTTGCCGTCGCTGCCGCCTTCGCTTGCGCCGCCGTGTGGTCCCTGCGTCGAGGGTCGGCTGCGCGCCGCCCCTCACTCCTCCTCCCTTCGTCCGGCCACCGAGCCTTTTGAGACGCTTCACTTGGACGTCTGGGGCCCCGCCCCTCGTCTAGGCCCTGAGCGTGAGCGCTACTTTCTGGTGGTCGTTGACGACTTCTCCCGCTACACCACAGTGTTCCCTCTGGCGAAGAAGTCTGAGGTGACTTCTACGCTGATCAGGTGGTTGCTCACCACCGAGGACACTCGTGGTCGTCGTGTCAGCTGCCTCCACTCCGACCGTGGGGGTGAGTTTCGCTCCGGCATTCTCGCTGGATTCTGTCGCGAGCAGGGCATTCGTCAGTCCTGGACGCTTCCAGAGTCCCCACAGCAGAATGGGGTTGCTGAGCGCCGCATAGGCCTGGTCATGGAGATCGCCCGCACCTCCCTGACTCACGCCTGTGCCCCCCATTTTCTGTGGCCCTACGCGGTTAGGTACGCCGCGCACCAGCTGAACCTCTGGCCACGTGTCTCTCGACCAGAGGTTTCACCGACCAGTCTTTGGACAGGGTCCCCTGGTGTTGCGTCGCGGTTTCGTGTCTGGGGGTGCTTGGCTCTTGTCCGCGACACCTCCGCGGACAAGCTCTCGCCTCGTGCCGTCCCCTGTGTCTTCCTTGGTTTCCCTGAGGACTCCTCTGACTTCACCTTTTACCACCCTCCCTCTCACCGGTTCTTTGACTCCCGTGACGTCCGTTTCGAGGAGTCCACTCCGTACTACGTCAGGTACCCCAGTCGAGGTCTCCAGGTTCCTCCTCCCCCCCTCTTCCTGACTGCCGCTCCCCCTCCTGTTCCCCCGGTACAGCCTCCCCCCCCTGGTCTAGCCCCGTCGGGTGTGTCCCAGGCTACCCCTCCTCCTTCGGTAGCCTCTCCGGTACAGCCTCCCTCCCCACAGTCCTCCTCGCAGCGTGCCGCAGGTGCTAGCTCTCGAGAGGTTGGTGCTGCGCCTGTTCCTGTACCGGTTTCTGGTTCTGGGGGTGGTGGAGTTGGAGCTGGAGTTGGAGCTGGAGTTGGAGCTGGAGTTGGCACTGGAGTTTCTGGTTCTGGGGGTGCTGGGGTTGGAGCTGGAGTTGGAGCTGGAGTTTCTGGTTCTGGAGTTGGAGCTGACCCAGTGGGTGTAGAGGACTCTTGTCGTCCGGGAGCTGGTGCTGGTCGCGCGGACACTGGGGGTGAGAGTGCGCCTCCTTCGGGTTCTGGTGAGCCTGGGTCTGGAGCTGGTGTTAGTGCTGCCTCTGGGGGTGGTGCGCCTGGTTCTTCGGGGGTGGACTCTGGAGCTACCGCTGCTTCGGACACTACTCCGCCCCCCCACCCCTACCCGACTAGGCACCAGGCTCGTGTTCGCCGTGCCCGTGACGAGCAGCTGGCGTTGGAGAGAGAGGAGAGGGAGTTACAGCGGCTGGAGGAGCAGCAGCAGCAGCTGGAGCCGCAGGAGGAGCAGCAGCAGCAGCAGCAGCTGGACCCGCAGGAGCAGCAGTCCCAGCAGCAGCCGCTTCCGCAGCAGCAGCAGTCGCAGCAGCAGCAGCAGCAGCCACTTCCTCCTCCTGTCTCGGGTCTTCGGACCCTTGGTCTCCCCTCCCCTTCTCCTCCCTCCGCCGCCTCTCCTCCTGTCTACGGTCCCACGTTTCCT